ATCAAGTAGAAGAAAAACCAATTTTCTACAATTTTTTAATATAAAAAAAGTTATAAATCTGAAAAAAAGATATATTTTTTGATTTTTGTACGATTTCTTTTTTAAAAATTTGAAGTGGCTTCGCTCACGAGATTGACTTTATTAAGAGTTAATAAATTTTTGCTTAAAGTTAAAGCTATAAGATCATACGATTTCACAGTCCTGCGGGACCACAAAATCATATGATCATACTAAACTGATTCATCAAATGTGGGCATTTCATGTCTGGATTCAATGTCATTCGAAATTGAAAACATTAATTAAAATAGCAAACTGCTATCAAAATTACAACAGACTTTTTCAAAATGAAGATATTGCTTTTAAAATCGCATTAGAACTTTACAATAAGAAAAAATATAAAGAAGCATTTGATATTTTTCAAAACATACTTCTAGTAAAAACTATGAGATTAAATTTCTTGCCACAGCATCCTACCATATTTCTGGATATAATAAGATCAAAAAAAATAAAAACAATGCCTTTAGCATTATATCAACACTAAACTTATAAGTTAATTGATTTGAAATTGATTTAGGTGATACGTGAAAAAAACATTAAATTTGGATATAAAAACTAGCCACTCACATGATTCATATGTAAACTACATTAAAAACGCAAAGTAACAATTTACTTAAATTAAAATGATCATTATTAGCATTAGTAAAAATTCAATAAAATATATGTAGAATATATAGTATTTATAACTATTTATTTAATAAGGTAGCTGTGCAATACAGATACAAAGTTCTAATTAAAAATTATTTACTTATAAGTTTCTTTATGAAGCTTAATATTAATATTATTTGGCTCAATATTTAGTAATTTATTATATTGAGAAGTCTGCTCATGAAGCACGAATATATATAATGTTTTTCGGGGCAAAATTAGTGGATTCAGTATTTTCAACAGAGCTAGAATCAATATCGACCTTATCACATGATGAAAGTATAGAATTAGAAGGTACTAATAGCAGTGACATACGACACCTATCTTCTTGCATTATTTTAGATTTTATTAATGGTCAATTTCAGCAATACTGCGACATAGGATTAAATTAGCGTCCTCTTAAACAACTTATTGATACATGGGAAATAGATAAAAAAGCATTTGAAAAAGCAAAAAGTGACAATCAACTTCATAATTTGGGGGTGTGTTCATCTCATTTTTCCTATGATGCTGCCAAGCTTTACTTACCACATCTTAAGAAAGAACGCACAATTGAAAAAAGTTGGGTTCATATTAGGCGTTGTCTTTTTTATAGCAGATTTAAAACTTTTTTTAGTCATGAAGAAAATTGCGTACAACATTCAGTATGTATAGTTGGCAAAAATGTGCAGATACCCTGCTCTGGTCTTAAAGTCTGTTCTGTTTTTGAAGTGGAGAATAATTTAAATACAATTTTCAAAAAGTCAGATAACGAACATCGAACTAGTGATACAAGTCGATGCTTGTAAAATCAACTTAAGTCAGTTAGTCGACTTAACCAAGCCGATTTTTATAAAGCCGACTTAACCGAGTATTAAAATAACTATCAATTAGTGCTCCAATGATACCTAGTTCTGTAATCGAAACATTATTTTTACTTTGCACTACAAAGCAAAATCAGGCTTTTTTAATATGAAGAATATTAACTTTATTGTTAGGTTTTAGGTTTTCCATTCTTTAACTAATACCAGATAATATGAAACATGATTGGTGCATGAAAATATCTCTTAAATAAAATTGACTCCGGCTAAAAACCGAAATTAATAATCAACTCAAGTTGACTTAGTCAAGTCGAATTTTTAAGATCGACTTGGTTCACTGCATCGAACTCAATATATATACTTTCATTGTTTCAATAAGCATGGCGGTTATTTTTATAAACATATAGGAAGGGGAAAAATCATAGTTTTTCTTGTAATGAAAAACATACAAACGATATTACTGAGGCACTTCAAGTTTTTGGAAACTGGATTTTACAAACTGCCACTACGGATAATAAAGATAAAAAAAAAGAATTATTAGCCTGGTTATCAACAATACTTGTAATGTTCAACAAAGAAGTACAATGTCTAATAAAGCCTGTAAATCCTTTTCTTTTCAAAACAGTATTTAAAATTGGACAAGTAGACCTTTCTACACATTCTAGTGAATGTTCTGGATTCACGCCAAAAACTTCAGAAAAAATTGGTAAACAATTAGGAGTTGCGATTTGGAAGTCTCGACCTTTTATACGTTAAAACAAATCCACACCATCATCATTAGAAGAATATTATAGTGGATTTCCATCTTTTTTAATATCTTTTTTCATATCATTGATTATTACTTTGCATATAAAAAAATATAGAGCTAATAATTACAAAAGAGCAAGCCACAATTTACCAATTCTAGATTTCGATAAATCTCCTGCTATAAAGATTTCAATCTTTCTTACTTCTATAATTGTAAATATTGCTTCATCTACAAATTTGTGGCTTCATTATATCTTAAGTTTACTAAGTTGTAAACCCAAAATGATATCTTCTTTATATGCAATTCTTTATTCAGCGGGTGTTATTTCTCATAGTCAACGTTATGAACGTCAATTAGAAAAAATTCAGTTAAATGAATCAAAACCTGAGGATAGGTTAATTAGAGAGAAAAACATATAGAATGTTTGTGTTATAGATAATATAGATTTTGCTAAAAAGTCATTTTCATATGGAAATATATATAATAGTTCCCAAGTTACATTTTATGCAACAATAAGAATGGTCTTTTAGTTTAGTCTTCCAAGCTCAATTCAGACTATTGTTTCTCAAGATGCTGCTAACAACAATGTAATGCAGCCCTTATTTGGCAAATCATCATTTACTAGTAACTTATTAAACTTTTATGAGAATGTCTTTGTTCAACTTTTAGAAACAAAATTAAATAATTGAGATGTTGAAGATGCACTTAATGAAGTTAGAAAAAATATACTACTTGGATGCCAAATACCACCTCCAAACATTGTTATATTGAGGCCTGGAGAAAATCCCAATTGCGATGCAAATATACATTAAGCTAGTGCCATAGATCTAGCAAATGTAAAAAAATGACTATGAAATTTTGACCCAATCATAAACTTAGTTTATTGTTTGTTACAATTTTTTTTAGTTATATAGTGAAATAATTTTAGGGAAGCTAATTTAAAATATAAATAAGCTATAAACAAATAAATTCTTAATTTAATTAGCTTACAATATAGTTTTTGTATTTAATTAATACCAATTAGCCAAATCATAACGCATTGATAAAAATTCTAAAGTAGATTCATTGGATAAACTGAATAGTTTTAAAGATAAGTAATTGGTGATATCACAATTAGAATTATATCTGTAATAAACTTTAAAAGATTTATTTGCTTTTACAATATCTTGAAAATATTTTGTTAAACCTGAAAAACTAGGTGATTTAATCTTTTCAAATTCTGTCTGAGCTTTTTTAGTATCTTTTGCCAAGTTTGATAATAACAGAAAAAGTGAATTGAATTTTTTTTGTTTCTGATAATTAAAATATAATTCATTTGCTCCAATATTATCGAGTAAAAATAAATAATTTTTTGATGTTTTTTCATATAAATCTTTATAATATGATTTGGTATCAATTTTGTAAGTTTCACTGGTCTTATCAATAATTTTAGAATATAGATATATTTCATGTATTAATCTGTTCTTGCTTAAGTTTCTTAAAGTAATATACTTATTAAAATCTTGATCCATATTATTTAACGACGACTTAATATTATTTCACTAAAATTATAAATATTTTACTTCATTTAAATTATTTATTTCAAACTGGTGTCTTTTATAAACCATAAAGTAATTAATATTTCAAGCATTATTCCAATTTTAATCGATTTAAATAACAATTTAAAGAAATGAGAGCAAAGTTACTTATAGTATAAATGTAATATTGAATTTGAACTAAGCAAAATTTCAATTGTAAATAAAATAAGCAATTTTAATAGCTAGATTCTTGATGTTTGTATTAAATCAGAATTGCAAAATGAGCTAACAAATCGTAATTATGGTATTAAAATTGTAAAAGATCTCCTTTTGGAATTATAATACAAATTGAATTAAATCAAATGCTTTAAAACTAAATTAAGCTTAAATCCAACTTTTGTATCAAAAAAGATGGGTAGAAAGTATATAGAAAAATTTATAAATCATTATTGAATATCTAAATCAAATACTTCTTTCACGCGACAAAAAGAATGTGCTGAACAATTTACTATTAATAATCTTTGTTTAAACAAATAATATATATTCTTATATATTTGCAAAATTTCAAGATTACTTGTTTGATGAATTTGGGATTTGACCGGGTTTGCCAGTATGTATAAGTTGGGATCAATAAATGATGCACAATATATATTTAATAAATTTTATTTTTGTAACTTAAAATAAATACTAGTAAGTTAAATTACACTGCCTCCTGTCTATCAAAAGCACCTTTTCATACGGTGTTCAATCAATAAATTCACATTTCACGAAGCTTTTTTTTAAATGGTGAATCTGATTATAATAAAGAAAATTTGTAAATTTACTTTATACTTTCTAAATAATGATGATACATTCTGAATAGTTTGAAAAAAAAAACGGTTTTACTTACTATTCTTAACTGATATAAAATTTAAATCTTTACTGCTTGTGATAAAAATGTTCATTTAACTATAGATCCATATACCGCCAGGGAAAACCTGTCATCAGGCTTTCAATTATATCTTGTACTGGACAAAATCTATTAATTTATTAGAGAATAAGTCTAGTACAAAATATAATTGAAAGCCCAATGACTATACTTGACACCCAAATCCTGAATCACTATAGTTTGAATTGGTCGTGCCCAAATCTCAAAGTTAATATCTCAAAAGCTTTATTAATAATTTTTGTTTAAAAAAATAGTATATATTCTTATGGTTATAGATATATTATCTTTAAAAAAACAGAGTTTGGCACCTTGAAAAAACAACTAATAAAATAAATAAGTATAACACAAGATTATAAAAATCTTGTTTATTATAAACTTCATCTGAAAATGAAAATTTTCAAAGCTAAAGAATTCTTTTATAGGAATTCTATAAGTTGTATTGTAAGTATTGTTAGGCATTTTTGATTATTACTATCTCTTTGTTTTACAACTAGAGATGTGATCCCGTTATCTTTTGGGCATCTGAATTAATAGATATCAATTGAAATATGAAAAGAATAACAATACACAAGGCATAATACAAAAATAAAAACCAGATTTTCAAACAAATAAATTTTCATCCTGATATAAGTTGTCATCAAAAATTATACAAATAAAAATTATAATTTAAAATTTATACAAGTTAAAATAAACGAAATATATAATAAAACTATGATATTTATGATTCTAAATTTGTTAGAGCTCTCATTCTGTCCTAGGAGTTCAATTTGTCGAATCAACTCTTCAT